CTTGAAATTTGTTATCCTTTTTCGTGAAGTTTCCCTTCTACCAAGGGAATCTGTTTCCTGAGCTGTTCTGAAGTTACAGAAGTGTCTCTCTCCGATGTCCTTTACATGTTCTTATATTATTCCTTTCACTTGAATCTCATGGGGCAAAGTTTCAATCCTTCCCCTTTAATCCATTGTTTCCTATTACTATTTTTACCCTCCAATTATTCATACTGTTAAGGATGTTGAATCCTATTCTTTTCTAGTGTCAGGGTTCTGCAATTATTTTCCTCTGGGAAATGTGTTACTTCACCTTCTCACCCCAGGTAATCTTACAACTTTTAGGTGGGCTGACAAACTGAGACTTGTGGGTTTATCCATCTATTTAAGAACTTGGATCTTCTAGAAGATTTTTCTTTTGTCTACTTTGGCTGCTTTACAGCATATCGTTACCCATGGAGAAGAGTATGGTTGATTCCTGTCCTCTAGGCTGCCCAAAGGGCACAACACTGAGTGCTGTGCTGGGGCTTTCCACAGCCTTGTACTAACTGCCAGGAGAGCTCTAATAAAGGATGTTTCCCTACTTCTGTGTCACAGCCTGATGTGCCCAGTAGGAATACCAACTCTGCAGAAGTGCTGTCCAAGTTTAAGCAGCAGATCACAGTTAGAAAAAACATAAAAACACCCCACCTCCTTAAACCACATCCCCTATACAGAAGGCAACTTTGTCCACTTCTAAAAATCCCTCACTTAAATCCATTTTTGTTGTAAGCAACACTTGACACCAGAAAGTCCCGAGAAGTAAGAAGATGGGCAGCGTAAGGGATATTTTCTAAAGACATTGTTACATAGAGAGGAGGGTTCTGCAGAGCTGAAGAACAATAACTCAGAGGAGTTATTGTCTGTGTCTAAGAACAGACCTATCTAGTCCAAGCACAAGCCTCTGAATGCTGTTTACACAGCAACACTGCTAGGGAAGAGAGGCATGAGCCAGGCACTCCCACATTTCATCTGGTGCTGTACAAAGTACTAGCAAGTATCCACTCCTAGGCAGAGTGCAAAGGACAAAGCAGGAGCACAGGGCTGTGTAAGTCCTTGCAGCTCTATACCAGCCAGGACTAACCCTGTTCAGATAAAAAGAGGGGTAAGCACTGAAGTGACTCACTTGATCCCCATAAGCATGACGGCCAATGACAATGGGCTTCACCCATCCAGACACCAGACGGGGAATGTTCTTGCAGATAATTGCCTCTCTGAAGACAGTGCCACCTAGGATGTTTCTAATTGTCCCATTGGGAGACTTCCACATCTGCTTCAGTTTGAACTCCTCCACTCTTTTCTCATCAGGAGTGATGGTTGCACACTTTATGCCAACATTGTATTTCTTTATGGCTTCAGCAGCTTCCACAGTCACTTTATCATTTGTAGCATCACGATTCTCAATGCCCAAGTCATAGCTGTAACAAACACACAAAGATGGTCAGAACCACCCAGGACATTTGTTTGTGTCCAACAGGAAAGAAACCAGACCTCGTATGTGCTTGTGAGTATAGTTCCAGCATTCTGCCATAACTGAATTTATCCCTTGTCCTGTGCAAACACTGCTGGACTGGAAGAAAACAGACTTATACAGTGACGTTTCTGCTGCTAGTAGGAGGTTGGAGAAAGGAGAGCTTCAGTTTGTGGCTGATGTGCTTTGCCAGCATGGGACAGTGTCTCCTCTCCCTTCCCTTTTGAGCTTCCTGCAATGGCAATTTTCAGTCTAGTATACTAAGAGATGGAGCAGCACAATACCCAGATGAATACGGGCCTACATTTCAAACCTCTTGTGCTGAGGGTTCTGGTTTCCTTCATGCACTGAGCATATGAAGCTACATTAGGCTTAAAAACTGCTTTGACAATGGACCCACAATCCTGCTCTGGCAGCAAAACTGCCAACATGCCCCTCAAACATTCAGAAGAAGCACCTTTCCCACATTCACTATTTTAATAGCTTTTGGGGAACAACAGGGCATAGGACAGCCCTGAAGCATGGCCAGCTGTACATGAATCTACCCATTGTGCTGCCTCAGCCAGGGGTTTGCTTTCCTTCCTCCCATCCCTCTTTGAAAAGGGATGCTCTCCAGACTGTGTGCATGTATTATATGCTGCTGGGTTCCTGTTGGCTTGGTTCTCAACACCAGAAGCAGAAAGCCTGATGTAGGTGGTTTTTTTTTGGAAAGAGGTCAGACTTGTGAGTTTAATTATGGCGTATACCACTGAAGGCCTCTGTCCACGTGGCTAGGAGCAATGCAGCTGGATATTTCTCTAATAATTAGAGCTCAGTGGCTAGAACAGGAAGAGATGATTTGTTCTACTTGGACAGATGCTGTAGATAGCATGTCCCTTTTGCTGTACCAGCTGCTAGTATTTGTTTTTGTCCAGAAGGGAGGGTAGGAGCACAGCCTGGGCTCAGGGAATAATTGCAACAGTTAGCTCATAATGTCAGCAGCAGAGCTCAAGCTTACATACATTAGGACAGAGTCTGTGCCCTACTACCACCTTTTTGTCCTCTGGGCAGATCTTCAAACAAACAGAGATGACAAGAAGACATAAGCCTACTCAGGGTCCACAGATGTTAGGCTTCCACTTCAGGGAGTGGCTGAAACACTCCATGTTTCTAATTGTTTAGGCTGCAGGGAGTCATGCAGACTGCCCAGGTGCTGGAGAGCCAAGACACAGGAGATGAAAATACAGGCCATGTCTGTGAGAGACCTTCTTAGAGGCACAGTACAGGAGAAAAGCTAATTCACAATTAAGCATTCACTGCTTACTGCAGTGAGGAAGCAGAGAGGGGGTGCTCCCAGTTCTACATGAAACATCATCAACACCTAATGATTCATTCAAATTGCAGTACAAAGTAACTGTCTGTAGTAAAGAGCCATTACCTGTGCAAATCCAGATCTACATAAGGAAAAATCAGCTTTTCTTTAATCAGCTCCCAGATGACCCGTGTCATTTCATCTCCTTGCATCTCCACAACAGAGCCTCCATGGATTTTTTTAGGCATCTTGAGCTGCAATAGACATAATATGAAGCCCAACATAAGTTTAAAACTGCTAACACATGTATCCTGAATTTTTACAACACAACTAGGAGAAACACTAACATAGCATACAGGATCTGTCCCAAAAGTCTTGAAAATAACCACAATTCATCCCTAGTTTCATGCTAACTAGTATTTTTCTTAAAGGCCCAGCTCCTAGGGAGACCTGAGGATAAAAAGAAAGGTTAATATCTGAGAGTTAAGGGCATGTGCTTTAATTGTGGTTGTACAAAAGAATTTGAAAGAATGTGGAATTTGGGGGAAGAAATTGGTCAGATATAGATAAGCATTGTTTAGTTTTAGATTTCAGAAGTTCTAGACCAATTACCTGTTTCTGAAAAACAGGCATTAATGGAGACAATTACAATGACAGCTCATATTGCTGCCACTATTAAGTTTAATGTAGACAGCTTCTTTATTAGCTTCCTTCCCCAGGAAGAGAGGAAACAGGTAAAAAAAAAAAATAAATCCAAGGGCTACACATCAAAAGTACTTTCTCATGGGAAGTTTTATTTCTGCTGTTAAAATAAATACTGGACAGATTTGTTTGCTGCAGGGAACAGAGGTTTCCAAAGATATTTATGAACAACGCCTCAAAAAAAATAGACATGAACTCTGCCCTTTTATTTGCACTTCGTTAAAAAACCCTCACAAGACAATGAACTGCTCCGACACAGTGTCCTGCTTTCCAACAGCCACAGTTTCTTGGTTCTTAGCTCTGATTATGCAAGAGCTATGACTTGGCAAGTTCCCCCTCCTTCCAGCACAGTCCTGTTCTTGTGTGCAGCTGTCAGGATACTACAGTGAGATACCAACCCCTCCTGCCTGAAGTTGTAGACTCGCAGACACTGAGGCTCATGAATGGCTTGATCCAGGACGAAGAGTCCTACTATATGCACTACTGTATACTGGATCTGTTCATCTGGATGAAGTTATTCAGAGGTTTGAGGTTTGCAGCACAAAGGCCCCAAGTTATAAGCACGTGGGGAGATCACACCAAGGTACAAATTTTCTTTGTTTTTATTTAAAATTAAACCAACTTGTGCTGTATTTGCAAAATCCAACCTATTAAGCATTTTCAGTATGGGAAGGGAATAAACTTTCTAAGTTATGTTTACAGGACCAAGCTTTTCCAAACTTTTTAAAGAGAAAAAAACTAAAAAGTAAAATGATGTTGTAAGTTACTGAGACTCAATTTACTATAAGCACATAAATTTTAAACATAAACTACTTCATGCACTTCTATCCCAAACAAAGACAGTGTTGTGGCTTATATTAGGCCTTTCTGAACCTCAGGGCAAACTAACTTCACATAACCAAACTCAGCCTGAACAGTTTATTAATACAAGTATTTGGGCCCAATTTTTAATTGTGACTGTCTAAATATAGACTGCATTACACTCCATAGCCTAGGCACAGAATTACTACTGAGGAGACTTCAGTTTTGCTTTTGGCACTTAGAGAGACAGCTTGATTTGTGGTTTCGTTCTACTTATTCAGAACAAATCAGACTGTCAGTCATAGCAATATGTTCTGCAAAGCTGCCTTCAGACCTATACATGGACAACATAAAGGTACCTGAGACACACCTCCACTGAGATGTGGAAACAGCAGCTGCTTCACACACTCTGACAGCATCCAACACGTTTATCTGATCACAGCCCCAGTACTTTCCCCCTCCTCAGACACCAATGTCCCCCTTGTTTCTCTGCGAGCCAGGGCAGCACTGCAGTAGCATCTCTCTTCTGCACACCAGGCAACATGCCAAGAGGTTCAGAGAGCACACACTCCCTGAAGTTCAAGTCTCTCACTGTTCCCCACTGATTTCATCCTCAAGTGCCAAAACCCAGCAAGGACTTTCGCCTACACCAACCCTTCCTTAAACACACTTAACCCAGGCACGCAGCCAAGGCAACTTAGAAGAAACTGCATTTCC